TGAAGAATGTGGTACTACATATTGGAACAAATGATGTTGTGAAACAACAGTCAGAAGCGCTGAAAGAAGACTTTAAATGTCTGTTGGAAACTGTCAGCTCTCTAAATGCGGAGGTGTTCATCAGTCCTCTACCGCCAGTCAGAAGAGGAGTGGAGAGATTCAGCAGACTGTTTGCATTGAACATGTGGCTTTCAGCTGCCTGCACTGACCATTCTGTCCATTTTATTGACAATTTTAACTTTTTCTGGGATCGCAGACATCTTTTTAAGGCAGATGGAGTTTGCCTGAACAAGTCAGGAGTGAAATTGTTTATCTCTAACATATTCAACTGCCTGCGTCAGCAATCTGTTCCCTCTGCCAAGGACAAGCGGCAAGAGGAATCAAAACAGGAGAAAGACACAACACATTGCGCAGAAAACCCTGAAGAAGTATCACTGCACCCGCCTGAGGAATGTTCTGATTATGGGAGACCTATGACACAAATGGAGGAGTCTCCACTGCCCGTCACCCCCCCTGTCAACGCCTTGGAGGATACTCTTCATTCATCTCCCAGCTCTCTCTACTCTCCGCTCACCCTTTCACCCTCGCCCTCCCCCCTGGAGTTCGATGACCGCATGAAGGCGAGATGCAGGGTTGGCAGCATGTCCTTTACCCCCGCCCCTCAACGACGCCCACCAAAATCACCGAAGCAGAGACGCGCACCATCTCCCCCGTCTTCATCACTGTGCCTATGTCAACCACCTCCCATCCCTTCAAGAAAGCATCTGCAGTCTCCGAAGCCTGATAAGGATGTGTGTGTACAAAACGCAACAAACTTTTACTGATATGTGCTGGGTCCAGGCTCAAGGGCATATGGCACTCTCAACTCTTTCCAGCACATGCCGGGGCCCTGCCTGCCAGTAGCTTTGCCGATATCTGTGTTGATAGGTAATAGATTAAGAGCGGTAAATCAGCTTAGAAACAGGAAGTGCTCAAACGTTTGTGTGAGGTTATCAAATTTAGCAGTGATTCCATGTCAGCCACAGCTTGTCACAACATTTTTTACTGATAGTGTATTTAACAAACTTAAACTAGCTTTATTAAATGTCAGGTCTTTGGCAGGAAAAACATTTTTAATCAATGATTTTATCACTGAGCACAATCTCGATTTTATGTTTTTAACGGAAACTTGGATTGAACAAAATAACAGTGCAGCTGTTCTTATCGAATCAACCCCTCCCAACTTTAGTTTTATGAGTCAGGAAAGAATGCATAAGAAAGGGGGTGGAGTTGCTATTTTGTTCAATGACTCCATTCAATGCAGGAAGACATCTTATGGGGACTTTGCTTCTTTTGAATATGTGGCCCTTCAGCTGAAATGCTCCTCTCGAGCTCTGTTCCTAAATATCTATAGACCACCCAAATACTATGCAAGCTTTTTTGATGATTTTACTGAACTGCTGTCTATAGTGTGTATTGACTTTGACCGTTTAGTCATTGTTGGTGATTTTAACATCCATGTTGACAACCCCCAGGACAGAGGGGCTAAAGAACTGTTTTGTGTTCTTGATAACTATGGACTGACTCAGCATGTGGCGGAGCCCACGCACAATAAGGGGCACACTCTGGACTTAATTATCTCAAAGGGTCTGAATATCTCAAAGGTTGTGGTGACTGATGTTGCACTCTCTGATCATTCCTGTGTTTTCTTTGAGAGCTCTATTTCTGTTCACAAAAATGTTCAGAAAGAGGTAACCACAAAGCGATATTTAACTGAAAATACTAGGGAAATGTTTATTCATAATTTCTCATCCACACTTGCCCCTGCTAACATCTCAGTAAATGAGCTAGTAGATCATTTTAATTCAAAAATTAAAAATGTTATAGATACCATTGCTCCAACTAAGGTAAAGGAAGTGATTGGCAAGAAAATATCTCCATGGAGAAAGGCCATGACCGTGAGAACAGAAAAAAGAGAGTGTCGAAAAGCTGAACGTAGGTGGCGAAAAACAAATCTCCAGGTTCACTTTGAAATCTATAAAGAGAGACTTGGCCTTTATAATTTGGAATTGAAAAAGGCACGACAGTCTTTCTTCTCTGACATCATTACCAAAAACAAAAACAACGCACGTGCCTTGTTTGCTACCGTCGACAGACTAACTAACCCCCCAGTGTCAGTAGCCTCTGAATTTCTATCCACCAGGGCGTGCAATGATTTTGCCTCCTTCTTCACTGACAAAATTCAGAAAATTAGACAAGCAGTCAGTGCCTCTACATCAGGTACAGCAAATGTTTTGTCCCTATGTCCACCTAATATCAATTCAAACACCATGACACAATTCCATCAGATTAATGGTAAAAACTTAGAGGACATTATTCAACTTCTGAAATCCTCCTCCTGCTGCCTTGATATTATTCCAACAGGATTTTTCAAAGATGTTTTTCCTTGCATGGCCTCAGATCTACTTCATATAGTAAACACATCTCTTCACTCAGGTATTTTTCCAGAGGCCCTGAAAACTGCAGTCATTAAACCGCTCTTAAAAAAGAATAATCTAGATGCCTCAGTAATGAACAATTACAGGCCAATATCAAACCTGCCATTTCTAGGTAAAATCATTGAAAAAGTAGTATTTCAACAGTTGAGTAACTTCTTGCATTTAAATAACTGTTTGGATGTGTTCCAGTCAGGATTTCGTCCAAACCACAGCACTGAGACTGCTCTTGTAAAGGTCTTCAATGACATCCACTTAAACACAGACAGTGGCAGAACTTCAGTGTTAGTATTATTAGATCTCAGTGCTGCATTTGACACTGTTGACCACAACATATTACTAGACCGACTAGAAAACTGGGTGGGACTTTCGGCAACAGTTCTAAATTGGTTTGAGTCCTACTTAAAGGACAGAAAAAACTTTATTTCTATAGGTAAATACACATCTGAGTTGACAAATATGACATGTGGGGTACCTCAAGGCTCCATCTTGGGGCCTCTTCTCTTTAACATCTACATGCTACCACTGGCTCAGATAATGAAAAACAACAAAATAAGTTACCATAGCTATGCGGATGACACACAAATTTACGTAACAATTTCACCAGGAGATTATGCTCCAATTCAAACACTGAGTAAGTGCATTGAACAAATCAATGACTGGATGTGTCAGAACTTTCTCCAATTAAACAAAGATAAAACTGAGGTAATGGTTTTTGGAGCCAAGGCAGAACGTATAAAAGTTAGCGCTGAGCTTCAGTCTGCAATGTTCAAAACAACAGATAAAGCCAGAAATCTAGGTGTAGTCATGGACTCTGACCTGAGTTTCAACAGTCACATTAAAGCAGTTACTAAATCAGCCTACTATCACCTAAAGAACATATCTAGGATTAAAGGACTAATGTCACAGCAGGATTTGGAAAAACTTGTCCATGCTTTTATCTTCAGTAGACTCGACTACTGCAATGGTGTCTTTACAGGCCTCACTAAAAAATCTATTAGAAAGCTGCAGCTAATTCAGAACGCCGCTGCTCGAGTCCTCACTAACACTAAGAAAGTGGATCACATCACTCCTGTTCTGAAGTCTTTACACTGGCTTCCTGTGTGTCAAAGAATAGATTTCAAAATATTGTTGCTGGTTTATAAAGCTTTGAATGGTTTAGGCCCAAAATACATGTCTGACCTACTGCTAAATTATGAACCATCCAGAACCCTCAGGTCTTCAGGGACTGGTCAGCTTTCTGTCCCCAGAGTCAGAACTAAACATGGTAAAGCAGCATTCAGTTATTATGCTCCGAATATCTGGAACAAACTCCCAGAAACCTGCAGGTCCGCTGCAACTCTTACTACTTTTAAATCCAGGCTGAAGACTTTTCTTTTTGCCGCTGCTTTTAATTGAACTATTCACATCTTAAACTGCACTGTAACTTTTAACTTTTATCCATGTATTTTTTCTTTTAATGTTTATTTTATTATCTTTCCTTTTTAATGACTGATTTTAAATGCCATTTTTAAAATGTCTTCCATTTTTGTAAAGCACTTTGAATTACCTTGTGTTGAAAGGTGCTATATAAATAAACTTGCCTTGCCTTGCCTTGCCTTACCTGTACTACGTAATGACAATAAGTTGAATCTTCAATCTTTTTTTGCATTAATCGAAAATCCCGCTAACTTCCTGTTCAGACAACGAAAATACACTCTCTGCACTACTACACAGTTTGACGTAAAATGACCTTAACCTGTACTTCAATATATGACTGCAGGGAGACTATAGGGTGCATTCACTGAGGTGTTATGTCTTCATTTTAAGGGAGAAAAAAACCGAGTCAAAGACTCAAGGAAGAAAGTGTAAAAGAAAGAGCCAGAAAGAAAGAAAGAGAACTTTTCATCCATATGTTTAGACGTCTGATAAGGGGGCCTCCTGCCCTGCTCTCTCATCTTCAGCCAACTAATCATAAGACCGGACCCCTTTGATCCCAGTGGCAGCCTGATACACTCTGTGTGTTACAGCAATGTGTGTGTGTGTGTGTGTGTGTGTGTGTGTGTGTGTGTGTGTGTGTGTGTGTGTGTGTGTGTGTGTGTGTGTGTGTGTGTGTGTGTGTGTGTGTGTGTGTGTGTGTGTGTGTGTGTGTGTGTGTGTGTGTGTGTGTGTGTGTGTGTGTGTGTGTGTGTGTGTGTGCGAGCGGCCACCTGCTGAGCGGGCCAGTCTAGCCGTTCATGTTCCCCTCAACCAGCCTGGCATCAATAATATTGGCTGAACTTTGTGCTTGCCTAACTGTACACCTCATAAAAATTGTTAGTTATTAATGTGTGTATTTGTGACATTTTTAAAGACACACCGACATGTTTATGTTTGCCATTCTTTTTCTTGGACAGAGCATATTCTTTGGCCTCCAACCTAAGTCTCACTTATTGCTTCAGTTCAATTGACTTAAAGTAGTCTTGCTCCTGTAAATGTATTTTCATGTATGCCTTGTGCTTGTGCTAAATTGTTTTAAGAATGAATAATGTTCTCTTGTCCTTTCAGAGCGTTTGTGAGCAGGAGCTGGAACAAGTCTTAGAGGAGATCTCCAAAATGACCTCTGAGGATAACAGAGGCCCGCTGGAGAACCTGTACGGGCTCAAGTTTCCAAACTGTGACAGACAGGGACTGTACAACCTCAAACAGGTGAGCCAAGGACAGCGCACTGGGCCACTATATGCCATTTCACCTCAACAATCACTCTGTTTTGATATAACACTGACTGGTAGATTCCAGAGTGTCACACCAACGTACGCAAATTCATCTTCACATATGAACAAACGTCTTTGCGAGTGTTCTGACATTCGAAGCTACAAATTAAGGCAGGGAGGCTTCATCATTAAAAAACTTGGTAGGAATAACAAAGAGCGAAGCGTATAGACACAATACTAATGACATCATCTTACAGTATGTCATGGTCAAATAATACTGCAACAGACTTGAGTTAACAAAAATAAATATATATGTTAACAAATATATGCAATTAGTATTGTTACAGATTGATCCACCAAACAAGACTTTTTCAACTACCAAATAGTGAGTACATAATAAACAATCTATAGCTTGTATGAAATGACAGCTGGTGAGGTTGACAAAAGTGTGGTTATATCAAGAATGTCTTCGGAGATAGGGTCTTGAGGAAAGGAATCGTGAAATGTTAACGTTTAAAATCACATCCTAATTTAAACCCCTCTACCTTCTCAGTCGTTTACCTACGTGCACTTACATTAATGCTGAGACTTTTTCTATAACAAGTATCTGCAGGACATGGTCCATAAACTGTCAGCACTTTTGTGCCTACAGTATATATACTTATGCATACCTTGCCTTTAGCCTTTTGTCTGTAGAGAAATGGTGGCATGTAGGAAACTTGCCCTCACCACATGTTGAGGCCCTGTCTTGGAGAGAGTCCCTGGGTGTAAATCTAGTTCTAATGGTGGCACAGCAGCTCCCTTTGCCTCAGGACCTTTAGTTGGTGGCCATGCCCATTACGGTGTGACTTTTCCTTTAATGAGGCTGCTGATCCAATATGGCCTACATGTACACGCAAGCATTGTTCTGTAATGATCCATTGTTTATTGTGTAAGGCAAGAATGTGTACAATATATACTGTCCCTAATATATATCGACTTCCAAATGAGTATTGATATAATAGTCTAAATGCTGATTACAGATGCTTCAACTTTATGGTACTGTTAGACCATTTTAGTTCATACAAGCATCATTTAAACATATACTGATAAGCTTCTAGATATACATGATAGAGTACTTTAGTAAGAATATAGTTAAAATGTCTACAGTATAGTGACGCAAAAAATATATATATATCATCTCTTCAGCAATAGGTCGAGTTTCTTTTAAACTGAATGTTATACTTTGTTTTGCCCTACTTTGCTTATCATTCATTCAATTTCCATTGCTCATTACTACTTCATATCTACGGAGCCCTGGAGGGTTCATAGAGGACATTGTGTGTGTGTGTGTGTGTGTGTGTGTGTGTGTGTGTGTGTGTGTGTGTGTGTGTGTGTGTGTGTGTGTGTGTGTGTGTGTGTGTGTGTGTGTGTGTGTGTGTGTGTGTGTGTGTGTGTGTGTGTGTGTGTGTGTGCGTGTGCGTGTGTGTGGGCATTTGTTTTCAGAATATATTATGATAGTGGCGTTCGTTCCGGTGCACTCCGACAGCCCTTAGCACTAGCCTGCATCGAGATTAAGATTAAACAAACTTCTTTCACCTGGGAATACACATATGGAGTTAGCCAGATGTGTGTAAATTACTGTTCATGGTCATTTGAAAACAAATGCCGGTGTCGGACACACACATACACCGAACACACACACACACACACACACACACACACACACACACACACACACACACACACACACACACACACACACACACACACACACACACACACACACACACACACACACACACACACACACACACACACACACACACACACACACACACACACACACACACACACACACACACACACACACACACACACACACACACACACACACACACACACACACACACACACACACAGCTGAGCAGAGACACACACACATCATGTAGCATTTCACGTTTCCATAGAACCAACAACTTCCTGTCAACAGCGTAAACTCGCCTTCAAAATAAAAGCATCTAAATAAAACAGGAAGTTAACCTAAATTACATTTAAGACATATACAACTGCAACGAAAGTAACAAAAACAATGTCATATCCTTTTCAGTTTCTGTCAATAAATCCCCATTGGATTTTTGTACAGGGAGCCCTTGCAATGCTAACTTCCGGGTCATCTCACAAAAATACGACATCACTGCACCACTCTATAGGGTGGCATGTCACAACACCGGCCATGTGTCCGTCAGTGATGTCACAGCAGGTGTTTTCCATCTGCTGTCAAAGGTGACCCACCTGCTGTGACATCACTCAGTGGTGTTGGCCAGCAGCAGGGAGCTACTGTTTCATGGGGAGCACACAAGCTCAGACTGCAGTGACTGCAAATGTCGTCAGGTTTAGAATTTGGCTAGAGGTCGTTGTATATTACACTGACTTTGATCATGGAAAAAAAAGCCTCAATTGTAATCCCAACTGTATGTGAGCTTTGTTTTTAGTTTAGTCTAATATGTTATGTTCTCCCTGTGTTCTCCTTTTACCTCCTTAAAATCCCACAAACTCTCATACTGTATCACTTTGTGTAAATCTCCCTTGGATGTCGCCTCATTTTATAAACACACACACACACTGCCACACACACACACACACTGCCACACACACACTGCCACACACACACACACACACACACACACACACACACACACACACACACACACACACACACACACACACACACACACACACACACACACACACACACACACACACACACACACACACACACACACACACACACACACACACACACACACACTTGTATCAGCCTGGTTAAATCACCCTGGCAAAAATATGTCCTCCCCCTCACTCCCACCTGCCACCACTCACAACACAACCCCCCCTTCCCCCCATTTCTTTTAATAATGTCACACACACCCTCCTTTTCCTTAACACTTTGCCCTTATGCACACACGCACACATACACACACATACGTGTGGAAATGTTGTCACCATGAATGAAGCAACAGCTTCTGAGCTCAAGGTTACAAGGCAATAAAACAGTTTGGCGTACTTCATGGGAAGACTTTTGTTTAGCCGAGGAACGAAACCACGCTTCCGACCGGGGGCTTGAATTTGAATTCTGCTCGTCCATAGAAATCAGGCACCAGAGGACAAACAAGGTCAGGTATCCAGTGTTTTCTTACGAGGATAGTAGAGCAGAAAAGAAGATTTGAATAGGCGCCACCGTTTCCTAAAGCAGGGCTCTCAACCACTCAGCCAATTTTCATCACTGGTCACAAACAACAGCATTGTTTCGGACCGGAGTCCCCGGTTCCCAGGGAGGAACACTGTACCTCCTCAACACTCGGCTCCCTTTGGAGTTGTCCCTCCTTGTCGCGGGGTAATTACTGTAACTGTCACTTTTTTTGTTCTTTCTCATCGAAGGAAGAAAATGGAAAGTCTTTTCTTTCCCCCCGAGCTCTTCATTCTTTTGGCCGTCCCCTCCGCTGCCGCCCCGCGTGCGCGGCGTAAACTGTGTCCACTTCAATTACGACCTCATTTCTGAGTGGAGGGGGGCTCTGCGGGGGTGCCGGTCTACTGGCATGCCGCTGCGTGTGTGTGTGTCTGTGATGGCATGTGTGGCTGTGCATGTGTTGTGAGTTGGGGGCATGACCTGAGGATGGGCTGTTATTGGGTGAGTGTCGTCCCGCCCGGACCATAGCCCTCTCTCTCATCCAGTGGCCCCCCGCCATCAGAAGATACACGAGTACACAAACACACATCTCGAGCCTCCGTACGCCATGCTACATTAACGCACCCCCTGCTTCCCACTGTGCATCCTTACCCCTCCCTCTGGTTTCTAGTGTTTTCCAACTTGTCTAGTTTGTGTTTTTCTTCCTCCAGTGCAACATGTCCAACCACGGCCAGCGGGGCGAGTGCTGGTGTGTTGACCCCTACACCGGGGTCCAGATCCCAGCAACGCCTCGAGTCAGAGGGGATCCCAACTGCTACCAGTTTCAGGAGGACCCCACCGAGGCAGATTCATAGAAGTGTTTGTGTTTTCTTTAAAATAAAAAATCTTTGAGGATTTTTCCATGAATATTATATGTATGTATGTAAAGAAAGTCCCTATGTTTAAAGACTTGTTTAATTTATACATGAACCTTTAACTAAAAGAAGACACACTTAAGAACTTAAAGGAGAGTACAGCCCTGCCAAGGCCAAATAGCTTATCTCACAATGTTAACAATAGAGGACAATAATTCATGTTACTGACCTAACAGATTTAAGCAGGGTTCGAGTTATAAACTGAGCTCTATGGGGGTCTTTAAAACTAACGCGTGCGCGCGCACACAACAACACACACACACACACACACACACACACACACACACACACACACACACACACACACACACACACACACACACACACACACACACACACACACACACACACACACACACACACACACACACACACACACACACACACACACACACACACACACACACACACACAGCAGCAGCCCTCTACTTGCTACAAACTTAAATATGAAAAGGTTAAACTACGCACACACACATCTCGGCTCGCGCAGCACGCTCACAGGAATACTGTAGATTCAAGGTGCGCAATACATTACATTATTGCGCACCTTGGAGGTGCAGCGCAGGCATATTGTCATTCAAGAGAGAATACGATGTGTAGTTATTTTGGAAAACATGTTTTTCTTTTAGCCTATTTACCTCGTTAACGTAAATAATACTCATTACATTGACACATGCATTATTTGTGATTAAAATAATGGTTGTTGGTAATGTATTAGCGACCCCCACAGATGTATGATTTCACTGCGTCCGTGGGAGCTCAGACCCCCCCTTATGGGAGCTCAGCTCCCATTGGCTCCCACATAACTCGAACCCTGGATTTAAGACTCTAAAGACTATACCATTTAAAGGGTTTATTCCGAGGCCTGTGCTTCAACCTTCATCCTATTTCAAGAATAATGGTCCATTATTTTTTCCTTACCAAAATGAAAACATAACTTTCTTGGCTTGAGGTTACGGGACTCGGACCTTAGCGGCTTAGCCCATGCATTCCTACTATGATTTAATCTTGAGAAAAATAACAATTATGTATTTTTTTAAACGTAATGCTAATAAGTACTTATGGTTTCATAGCAGAGGGACAGTTTTCATTGTAATAAAGAAGCATGCCAGCCAGTGCATTTATAGAGGAATAAGTTGCATCATGCTTTGGCTGCCTGGACTATAATTGGTTGCTTTTGGTCATTCTATAGGATTTGTTGACAATAAAAACATCCAAATATAGAATAGAATATTTACAGCCTTATCTTTTAAAGCTGCATAAAAATGTGTTTTCCTCAAGCTCTAAACTCAACATTTGAAACAGTACTACCTTATTAGAAATGTGTCAGCAATCCAATATGCATTCCAGCAGACACAGAGTAAAATTAGCATGACCTTGATTTGTGACCATCTGTATTCATATACAATGGGACAATGTAACATCTGTCCAGTACTACACAAATAAACTGACTCCCCCCCCCTGCCTGAATCGCCTCCATTGGACTCCTTTGTTTACTTCCAATACATAGTGACATCACTACGTAACACTCATGCTTGTATTGGCTAGTGCTACAACACATTGTACGTGATAGGCTAAGGGGTGGGACATCTTTAGGCGGTTAACCAATCACAATAGAGACAGCCAGCTAACCAATCAGAGCAGACTGGGCTCTGGTTTCAGACAGAGGGTGAAAAGAGGTGCTGCAGCACAGGCAGTATGAGAAAAATAAAGAGCTTTTGAACATTAAAGCATGGAGACATGTCCCAGTAGACATTACATACTGATATGAAACCTGAAAATGAGCATGATAAAGCCCCTTTAAGAGTATCTAATCTGCACTTCCACTGTTCCATAAACTGATGAATAAATACATTGAGCATATTTTGTACAAGTATATTCAAAGTGATTGTCATGAATTTCAGATTTTATTTAGCTACATGTATACAAAATAAATGAAATTCATTATACCGATGTTACCTGCCTCAAGTGGAGTCACGGTAGATTTGATGCAATGTTAATGCAATACCTTTGTAAGCTCACAGGCCTGTAGTACACTTGAGCTGAGGTTAAACACTTGTTCTTGAAATCCTCTGACATATCAGAGACATGTGTGCACAATCTCATTTCAGTGAGTTGTATCTGTCGTACTTTTCACTGATTACATCTTGTAATATCTCCCTGTTGATGATCCGACCTTGCTTCCTACATCATTTTCAGTAAAGTAATTGAATTCAACTCTGTTTTGACAATCTTAACTAAAGATGTAAGAATGTTTCTATGAATCCCCACCATGTGTTAGCAGCAGAGAAAAGTTGTTGTTTGTCAGCAGATTTCCCATCAGTAGCCTACTTGTCAACTCCAAATAAATGTCGCTTGAGAAAAATGGCACTTGTGGTAATAATAACAATAACGTGTGCGTGCGTGCGTGCGTGCGTGTGTGTAAAACAACACGCGGGGATACATCATTATTTCCACCAGCAACATGGCTGAATATCAAGCACTTCGGCCATGGTCAGCATGTAATCTACAGTACATTCATCTGGCACTCCTGGCAGACTCTCTCCAACACAAAAATGGGAGACAAACGAAAAAAGGAGAATATTGGGCTATTGGCTCTGCTGTGTCTCTTGCTCTCGGGAGATATCCACCCGTGTCTGGGTCCCGGCGTCGTTTCCATCGACCTGACAGCTGCACTGAGGTAAAGCCTAGAAATCCGGTATTTAAAAAACACTGTTACACAAAAAAATGTCAAACAGTGAATCAAGCAAAATAGTGTGGGATCCTCGGTGCAAGCCGAAGGGACTATTCAGTGGACATTTACATTTCCGCAGCATTTGCAATAAACATGAATCGCTAGAATATCTCCTCCTTAAGTCCAATATTGACTGTTTGGGAATATCTGAAACTTGGCTAAAACAGTCGTCACCATCCACTATTGTATCTATGTCAGGATATAATGTGTTTAGGAAGGACAGACTGAAGGGAAAATGAGGGGGTGTGTTGCTTTATGTGAGGAATACCATTACTTGTAGGGAGATTGCTCTTCCAGATAATATTGAGTTTGATTGTGTTGGTGTGGAAATCACACTATCTGAGGAAATGTCCCTCACCATGATTTGCCTATATCGACAACCCACCGCTAAGGTGGATTTCTATGACCAGGTAAAACTCCTGCTGAATTCCTGTGACTCCAACAAAGAGCTAATCATTTTAGGAGACTTTAACATAAACTGGACTGACAAACAAAATAGAAAGAACTTAAAACGGATCACGGATAACCGTGGCGGCTGTGGCTAAGTGGATAGTCTGCTGGACTTCGAATCAGGGGGTAGCAAGTTCGAGTCCCACGGCAGTCAGCATGTCGTTGTGTCCCTAGGCAAGACACTTCACCTCAAATTGCTCCTGTGGGGATTGTCCACAGTACTGAATGTATGTAAGTCGCTTTGGATAAAAGCGTCTAACAAATAACATGTAATGTAATGGATAAACACAACTTAATACAACTAATGGATCAACCGACTAGAATAACCAAAGCCTCCAAGAATATGATAGATTTATTATTTACTTACAAAGCTGACAGAATAGTTAAAACCTACAACTTCCTGACTGGTGTTTCTGACCATAATCTTATTATTTTTACCAGGAAACTCACAAAAAAAAGGTTCATGGCCACACCTAAAACCCCTGCCTTGGGTTCTCGCTTCATCCCCAAAAATCTGCAACAACGTTTTATGGATGCAGTGAAAATGATTGATTGGGGGGACACTCTGTCCTCTGAAGACATTGGTGAAAACAGTAATCTGTTTATATCTCAAATGAATGATACAATGCCTTAGGGACAGGAAGGAACATCATCTTCCCTGGTTGAATCTACAATGCAGGAATTTAATGAAATCTAGAGACCAACTATTAAAGCAGAGCTTGAAATCCGGACTATCCACTGATAGACAGAAATTCACTCATGCTCGTAACAAGGTAACACAAACAATAAGACAGGCCAAAGCGAACTTCTTCATCAATATAATTGAAGGTGCAAAAGGCAGTGGCGGAGCTGGGGGGTGGCTGGGGGTGGCCGTGGTTTTTATGTATGTATTGTGAACGCAACGCTGCGCAAATGTGGGTCTGACTCTGCCTCACAGAGGGTGACTGGCTGTCTACATGATGTGGCCTGCCGACATGGCCACTTTCATACAGATCATACACTAATGCCCTCGATTGGTCTCTGTGTGTCATTCAAGCTCGGGAGGGTATGTATGTGTGGCGCGAGCGAGCGAGAGAGAAAGCGTGCGCACCGGTTACGTGTATTGTTGTTGTTAGCATCTGGTGCTAGCTAGCTGCGCTAACGGATATAATGAGCTGTCAACAAGGTGGAGGAGAGTCCTCTCCTGTCAGACTGAGAGACTGATAACTACAGCTCAGGTGAGGTAAAGGACTCTCTGAGTGTTTAGATAGTTAACTTAGTCTAAGTTCTCTGTGGGTCTCAAACGGTTTAGTCACCATTTATGTAAACACATATTTCCATTTGAAGGGAGAGTGATTAGTAAAATATGCATGAATAATAAAAAAAAAATGTTAACTAGGTGAAAAAAGTAAGATAAACTTTAAAAACTTGTTGAGAGCTAAAACTAGTCTTTGCTGCTGCCTCAAAGAGGAGCAGGGGGGAGAGGGGGGAGACAGGTGAGGCTGGTTCAGGAGCACAGACACACTCACAACTATAAATGAACCAAAAATAAATAAATAAACAAGTTTCAATGTTTTTTCATATTGGATATGGTACGTTATTGGTTATGGCCAGGTTCTTATGATTTTATGATTATTTCAATGTATACAGTTCTGTTTCATATGGGTGTTTCCATAGATCTAGTCTCTTTATTTCCCCCTCAAAATGCACCAGATTGATGCATTTAAGTCCAACATTTAAAAAAAATATGTCCCCGGACCCCCCTAGAGGATTTTAGGTCCACCTCCACTTAAAATATGTTCACATGGATAGGTTCCTAAATAGATTTG